GAGCTCCAGATCAGCCTGGGCAACACAGGGAGACGCTATCTCCACCAGAAAATAAAAATTAAAATTAAAAATTAGCCAGGTGTGGTGACAGCACCTATATTCCCAGCTACTCAGGAAGCTAAGGTGGGAAGATCACTTGAACCTGGGAGGTCGAGGTTGCAGTGAGTCTTGATTATGCCACTGCACTCCAGCCTGGGCAACAGAGGGAGACCCTATGTCAAAAGTGAAATAAAGTGTTGTTTCTGTGTCTTCCTATCAAAATTAGAACTTAGGACTCTTTTCATCAAATCCTGTATTACACCACCCAAAAGTAATTTATTTGATGGAATGAAACCACTGGGAGTGCCCTGTGGTTCTAAGATACAGCATCTTTTATTTATTTATTTATTTTTTTGAGACAGAGTCTCATTTTGTCCACCAGGCTGGAGTTCAACAGCATGATCTTGGCTCACTGCAACCTCTGACTCCTGGGTTCAAGCAATTCTTCTGCCTCAGCCTCCCAAGAACTGGTGCATGCCTCCATGCTCAGCTAATTTTGTATTTTTAGCAGAGACGGGGTTTCACCACATTGGCCATGCTAGTCTTGAACTCCTGATCTTGTGATCTGCCTGCTTCGGCACCAAAAGTTCTGGGTTTATGCCATGAGCCACTGAGTCCAGCCTATACAGCACCTTTTAATACTCGTGCTTGTCCTGTGCACCCTGGTCTCTGGTTAAATAACAACTCCTCACTTAAGCCCTAGGGTCTGAGAAAAGGAAACAGTGTGAGCAGCTCTGATAGAGGTGAGCAGAAACAAGTCAGAAATCTGACCAGGATCAACCCAGGCTCTGACCTTCTCAGAGCTTTCCCTCAACTCTGCCCTGCCCCCTCCTCTCTGGCGTGTCTCCTGGTGTCCCCCACCCTCAGGTGACAGGGGTGCTGTGTACTCCCTGTGCTTTATCCTGCAGAGGAAATTCACTCATTCCCAGGTTTATTCTGTGTCACTGCAGTCCGTTTTCCACAGAAACAGTTTCTCTCTCACTGAGTGGCCTCCATGTGCTCACATAGTACCAAAGGCCTTTTCTGTCACAATCATTTTTTGCTTATCCATTTAATAGCATTTCCAGAAGAAGAGTTGGAAAGACTAACAAAAACTTAAGTAACATTTCTTTTGATTTTAAAAATAATC